CCTGACGAAGTTGCCTGCTGCACCCTATGCAGACAGCTGTACACTAGTGCACTATGATAATGATGTGACCCCTGGTTTTCATTACTATGAAGCTGATGGCACTGCCTTGAACATCTATGACATCACAGGATCTACACACTCACGCATCATCCAGTGTCTTAAATCCAGGAAGCCGTCTGCTGGATTTGACCAAGACCTCACTAAGTTTGAGGAACTCGCTGATGGTCCACCACCAAGCGAATCACCTCCAGCAGCTGCTCCTGAGGAGCCTCCTACGGATAACGATGGTCGGCTCCCGACCATCATAGAGGAAACAGAAGAAGATCTGGATGCTTTTGTCTTGAAGTCGTGGTATGCTGAACTGATGGATGACAGAACACTCCTTGAAGCTGACACAGAGGAAGTCATGCATACAGTTCCCACATACATGACAGACACACAGTGTGTGTTAGTCTCTACGACCTGTGAAGATGTGCAAGGCCACTTGCCGGAGCGGGGTCGCCCGCCAGGATACGACATGGACACTTCTTACTACGTTCCTTTATGCTCCACGGATCCGGATAGCAAATATGATCTGGACTCCGATGAGCACGGGAAGTACATCGAGCTCTGCTTCACTGCAGACATGTCCAAAGTCGTCCTGTCCGAGCAGCAATACCGATTGTTGGATGACAGCAGCGTCACAACTATGCGAGTATACGTTAGCGCTGCCTCCAAACGTGCCGTGGTCGTCAAGGAAGACGATCTACTCACGAAGGCCGACATCCAAGCAAATCCGGTCAAAGTTTCCAAAGCCCTCTACACAGAATTGAAGACTTGGCTTGACAACAAATGCTTCCAGATGACTGACTTAAGCAAGGCGTCTAACATCATGACGTCACGCTACGTATACAAATGGAAGTTTGTCAAGAACGAAAAGGGCGAAATGGAAAGGGCGATCAGGTTACGCTTGGTACTCCGTGGCTTCATGGACCTTGAAGCCTTTGATGTCGAAACCTTCTCTGGCACGGCAAGGAGGTCAAGCCAGAGACTGCTCGCAAGTTCTGCTGCATGCAACAAAGCTTGGATCATCGCTTCCCTGGACATCAACATGGCTTTCTTGAAGGGACTGACCTATGGCGAGCTCGCCGCGGCAACGGGCGAGAAAGAGCGTGTGGTGTGCTTCACACTACCACCTGGGTCAGCAGCTGTCCTTCGCACACTGCCAGGCTTTGAGTCATATGACGAATCAAAGCATTGTCTCCGGTGTCTGAAACCGGGGACGGGCACGAAGGATGCTCCCAGGGCATTCTCGCTGAAGCTCAGGTCCATCACTAGGAGCTTTGGGCTACAGCCTACTTCATACGACGAAGAGTTCGAGATGAGCCCAAACCTCTTGACAGCCAAGCACGTTGATGACATCAATATGACTGGGAAGGAAGAGGCTATTGACAAGTATGTCAAGTGTGTTGAAGATACGTTTGGGAAGTGCAAACTGAACAAGCACACATACACAAACTGTGCCGTTCGGTACAACAAGACCGATGATGGGAGCGTCACTCTCGATCAGGACGAATACATCAAACAGCTTCGTCCTATCACACATCCAGAACTCACAGGAGCTGATCCTGAGAGCAAAGCGACAAAGACGATTTCTGATATGTTCGTCAGTCTTCGTGGCGCTCTAGCCTATGCGTTGATCACGCAGGTATGGCTGATGGTCTATGTTGTCTCACTACAACGTATCCAGGAACCGACAAACATCCAGGTACGACGACTAAACGCGGTTACCAGAAAGCTACAGGCAGGTCCGAAGAAGATCGTGTATCAAGCTATGACCCCAACAGGAGAAGTCGACCTGCATAGCGATTCTGGCTATCGTCGTCTCAACGGAGATGAAGACGACGAAGTCAAAGGCTATGGTATCCGCGGGGCTAACCTGCTGAGGCGTGGCCACACGCAAGCGGGGAAACCCGTCGTGCACCTGGTGGACGCATACTGCAAGTCTCATCGACTGCAGGTGCGTTCGAGCTACTCTGCGGAAACACTGGCAGCAGCCCACAACTTGGAAGACTGCTACCCGACCATTGTAACGCTCCACGAGCTACACTCGGGACCATTGACCCCCACACAGTTAAAGAACATATTGGAAATGGGTGGTCTATGTATCAAAGTCACTCTGACTATTGATGCCGAGTCTGTCTTCAAGTCTTTGTCTAGCAAAGATCTGAAGAAGCCCACAGAATGTACTCTGCTTGGGCACATCAGCTGGATCCGCCAGATGATGGAACGCGGAATCGTGGAAAGCGTCCAATGGTGTGACACGCGGGATATGACTGCCGATGGTCATACCAAAGGTAGTATTGACCGCGCGTTGCTCCTACAAGTAATGGCCGGCCAGCAATCCTTCAAGCACGAGCTGAAGAAACATACGCCGTATAGGGCGGGCAGGTCGTCTCAGGACGGCCCTGCCTCCCGAGCCAGCGGGGAAACCCGCGGGCAGGTGCGCTTTAGTAGCGAGGAAACTCGCCGGTAGCGAGGCTACTCGCGCGCCCTTTCCTTGTAGGCAGCCGCTGCTGCTTAGCACTGTTTTTCCGCATAATGTAGAAGTGCGGTACCTGCTCGTCTCCTCCCCCTCCGACTTTAAACGGAGAAGGTTAAAGGCGAGGTATAAATCGAGCATGTACCGCTGCCGTGCCTGGCTCAAGCCGGGCCCGGCCAAATATATGACTGTGCCTCACTGAGGCGCACGACTTGCATCAGAGATCGGAAAATACCTTTTCCATTGACGATGCCCATCCTATCCTTTACTCCAGATCCCATGCTTCGTCTCGCTCTCTTGCTCATGCGATATGAGCCAAAGCCTGGGATATGGGAGCGCCTAAGGCGGACCACATACCTAAGCTTGCCAGCTTGTTTTCGACTGGACCTCCCTCCTACACCCATCGGCGTGGAAGTCGGGAGGTCGGAAGTTGTTGGCGGGGAATCGGAAGGGAGACATTGGTTGGGAGTCAGAATCAAGAACGACGCCACAAGATGCTTGAACAGCTTCACAAAGAACAGGGCCAATACCAGCAGCGGGAACAGGAGCAGCGGGTCACCGGGTCCGTCAGAATCACGAGCGCCTTCGTTACGAGCTGCATGGCCAGCTTCACGAGGCGTAAGATCGAGACCGGCAGCAGGAGAAGCAGCAGCAGGTCCCACGAGCCAAGTGGCCGCAGTCGCACGGCGGGCGGACCGCCATGCCATATTGGTGGTGCTGAGGGGCGTGGTTTCCGCCACCACCACCATAAGTTGGAGGGGGGGGTCCTCCTCCTCCTCCTCCTCCTCCTCCTCCTGCTCCTTCCCCCCTCCAACTTCTGGTGGTGGTGGTGGAAAACAGTTCCATCAGGTGCGATTTGGCCCGACATGGCCATCAGAAGGATCATCTTCAGTAGGACGTTGGGCACAACAAGCAGACTTGCAACGTAACTGCGAATCGGCACGACAAGGCTCACCTGCACATTAAAAGGCTCGTGCACAGCATCCTGAGGCGGTGTCTCGCCACGGAGAGGACCTTGGCATCGCTCGGACGTGTGCATGTTTCCTTCGGTGAGGACCATCGAGGAGCGTCCTTGATCATTTGGCGAAAGGACCACGCACGAAACCGAAAAAAACATAGGGAATGGACGTCCGAGCGATGGCCAGGGACATTTCGGAGCCAGCAGCAGAAGCAGCAAGTCCCTCGAGCCACAACGCCGCAATCGCACGGCGGGCAGTCCACCAACCCGCACTGGTGGAGCGGTTTGGCTCGACATTGCCACGAACCGTCTCCCCAGCGGCCACAATTGATGGGCGTGTTTTCCACCACCACCACCATAAGTTGGAGGGGGAGGGGTCCTCCTTCTCCTCCTCCTCGTCCTCCTCCTCCTCCTCCTTCCCCCCTCCAACTTATGGTGGTGGTGGTGGTGGTGGAAAACAGGCCCATTACCCAGCGGCCACAATCCCCTCACCTGCGGTGGAGGGTGCGCCAGCCCTGGGGGGACCAGAGTAGCTGAGCAGTACGTCGCCCTTGGCTCATTACACATTCAGACGGCTCCTCTTCAGACGGATGTGTGGCACAACAATCAAGTTGTTCATCAACGCGATGAGGCTCAGCTGCACACTTAGAAGGCTCATCTGCACAATCGTGAGGCGGAAGCTCGCCCTGGTGATGATCCTCACCATGAGGCTCAGCTTCGCCACGAGGCTCGCCCTCAACATGCATCGAAGGCGTCACCTCGCACAACGAGGCGCCCAGCAGGTCGTCCACGTTCTTCCTCTCTGAGCCGTACTGGCCGATGTACGGGGCGGCGCGAAGCTGCTCGAGAGTGACCAAGCAGGACCGGCATGTCGCGCAATGGCGCGTGCCGAGCCCAGTTGTTGTCATCACAGGCTGCGGCGGCAAACGCCCTGAGCTCGAGCGAAACGGCCCCACGAATCTCAGCAGCTGCAAGGGCGTCGCCCATCTTGGGATGATGTCCGCCGATGGCGTCGCTCAAGTCCTTTGACCAGCGCGGAGCAAGACCATGCGCCGCTGCAGCGCCTGAGCCCGTGGTATTCCAAATTCACGACGATTCTCGCGCCGACGGCGACGCGCGAGCGTCCTCGCACTCGCGGCAGCCCAGCGGCGTCCCGTACTCTGGCTGAAGACGGCGTCGTCCTCCATCGCGGCTACTTGCGCGACTGCGCCCGAGTAGGCGCGCTGGCGAGGGCCTCCCGAAGCGCGGCTCGCTTGATGATTGGCTCGTTTTCCATCACCACCATAAGTTGGAGGGGGGAAGGAGGAGGAGGAGGAGGAGGAGGAGGAGGAGGAGGAGGAGGAGGAGGAGGAGGAGGAGGACCCCCTCCCCCCTCCGACTTATGGTGGTGGTGGTGGTGGTGGTGGTGGAAAACAGGCCCATCACTTGAGCCAAAATGGCTACGGATGGGTGGGATGGAGGAGGAGGCAGGGGAGGCAGGGGGTGGAGGAAGATCAGCCTCCCTTGCCCCTCTGCTGCCAGGCGACGCAGGGGCCCTCCGCCGCGCGGCCGCCTTCCGGGACGAGGAGTACCGGAACATGCAGCGCGACCAGGACGTCGAGGAGGAGACCTCTTTCGCAGACCTAGAGGTTGACACCAACACCAATACCCGGCGGTGTGCCTCCACGGAGGGAAGAAGATCCCGATCTCGGTGATGGTGGTGATATTCTGGGTTCCAAGGTGACCGAAATATTACCACCAACCCCTTAATCTAGGATCATCTTCCCCCTGTGGAGACACCCCCCTGTGTTGGTGTTGGTGTCCATTTCCAGGCCTCCAACTCTTCGCCCCCCCCCATTCCTCGTAGGTATGGGAACCCCTCCGAGCAGGAGGAGGGACGAGGAGGGAGAGTTTTGGACTGGGCGGTCGATCCAACACGCCACCAATGGCGAGTCGGCTTGGCAGGGCCATTTGACAATAGCCCGATCGGCTCTCGCTCCGAGTCCAAGGGGCCAGCTGGCCCCGACCCGAAGTCCCCAGGGAGGAGGAGGAGAAAGAGAAGGAGGAGGAGGAGGAGGAGAAGGAGGAGGAGGAGGAGGAGGAGCAGGAGGAGGAGGAGAAGGAGGAGGAGGAGCAGGAGAAGGAGCAGGAGAAGGAGCAGGAGGAAGGAGGTGGTGGAGGAGGAGGAGGAGGAAGAGGGAGGAGGGGAGGGAGGAGGAGGTCGAGGAGGAGGAGGATGGAGGAGGAGGAGGAGGTGGAGGAGGGAGGGGGGGAGGAGGAGGATGGAGGAGGAGGGAGGAGGGGGAGGGGGGGGGGAGGGGAGGGGGGGAGGGGAGGGGGATTTGGAGGGGCGGGGGAGGGGGAGGGGATGGGGAGGGGGGGTGTGATGAGGAGAAAGAAGGATATTTCATCCAGCGATGGCGGCGTCGCCCAATCCCTTGTCTGGCCATCAAGGCGCACGGCTCGCACTCTCGGCGGTCGGCTGGCAGCGGAGCGCCTGGTCCCCCGCCTTTCCTCGGGGTGAGCATGCAAATAGGAAACAGGGCTGGGCGGTTGGGCATTCGAGACCCTGGCTCGAGGCGCGCTCGAGGCCAAACAGTTGTGAGCGCGTCTCTCGCATCACTCTCTCCCAGCACCCTACATTTTAAACAGTCGCACCGGGTATTCAAGTTTCGGATTGAGCGATAGATGAAATTCAAACGAATGGCAAGTCGGCGGGGATCTCATTACGCTGTCCCGTCACAGGGATCAGCTTGCGACCTGCCCCTAAGAAGGCTCAGAAGTAGCTTCATTGATGCGCTTTGCACCGTCGACCTTATCGCAGAGGCTTCTCTCTTGTATCGCTCCTCTCCTCGTTAGGCCCAAAATGTGGGGTGGATCACCGTGGCAATGCTTTTTAGTATCCATTCTGGCATTTTGGTTGTTTTGGCAGATCCGTGGATCCTGGCCAACGTAGCAGACCTTGAGCATGTTGCCGCCATCTCGGCAATTGGGGGCACTCCACGATCGTGCCGATGCACATTGATTTGTGCGGCGTTGCTCTTGATGATCTTCTGCAGTGTTTGAATGACGGTGCGGGATTCCCTTGGCGGCTCGCGACCTTAGGGATGCTCTCCTCGGACCTCGGCGTTGCCCAGTCTTTGATCTTGAATGCGTCTTTCTTCTGCGTATTCGGCGTTTTTTTCGCGCTGCTGAGTTGGATCTTCTGGAGACGGTAGAAGCAGTGTAGTACAGCACTCGTCGGGATAGGCAGTGGGGTGCATGTTTGAGACCATCTTCGGGTTACGCTTGGCTCTGTTTGGTAGTCCGCTCGGTGCCCGTTCCTCACTGCGAGCCGACAACAAGAGGGCACCGCCCACCAATTCCCTTTTGGCTCTGCGGGCCAACAGGAGAAGAGCACCAGCCTTCGCGCGCAAAAAAAAGTGGCACGACGCGATGCTAGCGGCTATCGAGGCTGGCGCGTTGCCAGCCGCTCAGGCAAGCAAGCTGGCGCCGCCTCCTGTCCTCTTTCTCTCTCCTCCCATCCCCCCTTCTACCCCCTTCTGCACGCTCCTCCTTTTTCCTGTTCTCCTTCCTCTCCTGGCCGCTGCTCTTCCTCCGCCATCCTCCCTTCCCTCTGATCCTGTCGCTGCTCAGCTCGGCCGAGCACAGTCCAGATCGGCGTTCGGTCTTTGAGCTTTTCGCTGGCGTGTTGGAGGGGGACCGGGTGCTACCACAGCTGCTCTTGGCCCAAGGTGTTCCTAGGATTTCCAGGGAGGCCCCCGCGAGGTCCAGAGCACCGGTCACGAGGCCCAGAGGGCCTTTGGAGCTCCGTAAGGGCGCGAGAATGGGGAGACCTTTGGCCAGGGACACTTCGGGCAACCCACGATAGGCAGGGGAGGATTGTGTCGGTCAGGAGCGGAGACGTTCCCGATTGGCAGGAGGCAAACCAGCTGGCGAGGAGGCGTGTTGGCGGAACACCGGAAGGCCGTCCACGCAATGTCGGACGAGCCAGATGAATTTGGACCAGTTGCTGTACTGCTGAAGGTGCCCCTCTTAATCTCCCCTTCCTGCTTTGTAGTCTTCTTCCCTCAATCTCCTCCTTGCTCCGCGCGCGCTGTGCGAAAGGAGAGCATCGCAGAGGTTCCGATGGCGCTGGGATTGGCCACAACGATGACGGAGGCCTCCCGCGAGAGATGAAAGCAGACGGGAGAGTGTTTGGCCGTGGTACTTCAGCAAGAGGGGAGGGCCAGGAGGGGGAGGATGGGGAGGAAGAGGAGGAGGAGGAGGAAGGAAGGGAGGAGGGGGGGGTAGGACCAAGCCCAGCATGTGAAACCAAGCTTCGCTTTCTCTGGCGTGCGACCGTGCATCCCACAAAATATGGTCCAAGCACATGTCCTCGGAGGACTCCGTGCAGCAATTCTTACTCAGAGTGTGTTGCTCTCCCATCCGAGGAGGTTGAACGCTTGCATGATCAGAGTGATGGGGGCCGAACGGTCATTCTCTGTCCCAGCGTGCGTGGCTGAAGTGGGCTTCTGCGATGCGGGTTGTTTTGGTTGTTGTTGTTGTTGCTGCTGCTGCTGTTGCTGTTGCTGTTGCTGTTGCTGCTGTTGTTGGTGTTGTTGTTGTTGGTGTTGTTGTTGGTGTTGGTGTTGGTGTTGGCGTTGCTGTTGCTGTTGCTGTTGCTGTTGCTGTTGTGGTTGTTGCAGTTGTTGAACATTATTTATTCTAAAGAATAATTATTGTTGGGACCCCTGGTGCGCGACCCCCTCGCCGCGCCTAGGCCGCAGCTACATTTTCATCATTTTCGTGAGGAAGCCTCAGGTAATACGATGTCATCAAGATCCGGTTGTTTTTTTCCCCCCCGCTGTCCCTTGCAAAAAACACTATAACATGAAATTTCTTGTTCTAAAATAACCAAACTTCAAGAATCCCTTGCAAAAAATAAGGTAAAGTGGACATTCGCGCGCGCAAGACGAAATCCTTCCAAAACCTTAGTGTTCGTAGCGATTTCAACATAAAAAACATCAAAAAACCAATGGTTTAAAAAAAAAACGTGTCACAATTTCATCCCGCGCGCTCTTGCGGATTTGCAGGAAACCCAACTTTTTTAAACATTTCTGTCAAACGGGCTTTTGCGATCAACTTCTTCACGTGCTTCGAACTTCTCAAACAACGGTTGCGCACCTGCCAGGGCCATCATCCCTGTCAAATAATACCATGCGGGACACATTCGTTTTTTCTTTCCGTGCGCACGCCGAAATCTTCAAAAACCATTGGGTATCGTAGGAATTTTAGCACCGCGCAACATAAAATCATTTTTCGCACCGTAGGCCCTTCAAATCGTCGTCGTCGTATACTAAGCTAGTTTCCACAAGATGTTACCACAAGAAGTCATTGAAACCTTGCGCCAGTGTAGTAGCCACGGTCGTCCGCATGCCACGAAGTGAAGTGTCCGAACGTCATAGGGCGGGAAGCTGGGTGTGGGTGGTGGCGAAGAGTCGTTTGGAAATGTGGTAGAGCTTGAACCGGCCCCCCCACAAAGTGGGGGTATTGGCGGGCGTCGTATGAAAACCCTGGCACTGGTGTGAACACTGAGCGTTCGGGTAAAGTGATTGTTGTTGTT